TGTGTGTGTGTGCGCGTGCACATATTCTAGGACCCTGTGGGTCTCTCCAACAAACTCTCCTGTGAGGCTGGGAGTTCTTCCCACAGGTGCTTTTAGTCAGAGGCCTTGAGGCTTTTTTTTCCCCACACTGGAACCCTGGGTTTCATGGTCTGTCCTGCTCCCCAGTTAGTCCTCCCAGTTTATCTGCACATGAATGTGGGACCACCTGGTCCCCCAGCTGCCACCTTGCCACAAGTCGTCTCTGCCCAGCTGCCTGGCTGCCCATCTCTGCCCCTTGTACTGGTATGGGTGAATGTTTCTTCTTTAACACCTTGGTTGTCGGACTTCCATACAGTCCGATTTTCCATCATTTCTGTTTGTTTTTTGTTTTTAAATTTGTTGTTCTTCTTCTTTTGGTTGTGTGAGGAGGCACAGTGTGTCCACCTATGCATCCATCTTGGCTGTAAGTCCTACAACCTGCTTTTAAACTTAATGTGTTGTCAACATTTCTCCTTATCATTAAGCATCTTATGTCATTAAATATTCTTCTAAATCATGATATTTCATTCTCTGGCTGTACTATAATTCCCTAATTTTGAATATTTAGGAATTTTTGTATTATAAATAATAAAGTAAAAATATTATTGTAAATAATACTTTGTTTCTATTTCTGATTATTTCCTTAGAATAAATTTCTAGACATGGACATACTGGTTTAAGAATTATGAATGAACATTTTAAAGTCATTTGCTATGTTTTTCTAAACCACAGGCATCAAACATAAGGCCTGTGGGCTGAAACCAGCCCTCCACCTTGTTTTATCCGGCCCAGCACCTTGTTTCTACATGGCAGCAGTGCTGAGCTCCTTGCCCCTGGTTAAGGAGTAGTTACATTTATACAGTCCTAAAATTACATTCAGGCTTTTGAAGGCAACTGCGAGGCTGATGTGACCCCCAGTGAAAATGAGTTCGACACCCCTGTTCTAAACTGTCCTACTGAAAGGTGTTTCAATTGCTGTGGGGGTGTTACAACCCCACAGCAATATGAGAATTGGGCAAAGTTTCTAAAAATACTAATATCACAACATGAATTGCAGTCAAACACTTTGTATCCTTAATATATAAAGAGATTTTAGAAATCAACTAGAAAAAGAGAAATACCCAATTCAGGATGATTCCGGCTGCAAGTGACAGAAAACTCAACTGAAAATTATATAAGCAATAGAGAAATTTATTCTTTAATATAACAAAAAGTGTAAAGGTAGGGCAACTTTCTGGACCCGTTGATTTCACACAATGGCTTTAATAAAAGGCACCTCTGTACACAGACCAACAGTGCAGGCTCTGAAGCCAGAATGGTGGGTTTACATCCCAGCTCTTCCACTTTCGGGGTGTGTGACACTGAGCAAGTTACTTATCCTATTTATGCCTCACATTCCTCTTCTGAAAATCGTTATATTAAGAGTATACTATTTTATAGGACTGTTGTAAGGATGAAAAGAGTTAATATATGTAAACTACCTACTAAGTGTTGATATCATCAAGAGTCTAGGTTCTGTCTGTTCTTTTTTTTTCTGTTCTGCCATCCTCCACATGTCACTCAGTCTGGAGACTGCCACAAGACAGCCGCAGTGACTCTGAGCATCGCATCCAATAAAATGAGAGATGGACAAGACTAAGTAGTCTTCTTGTTTTTTTCTTAAGAACAGAAAACCTTTCCAGGAATTCCCAAGTGGACCTCACTCATATTCTACTAGATAGAAAATAGGTTATCCTACACTGATCTGTAAGAAAAGGAGAAAGAAAGTACCATAATTGGCTGAGACAAATCAGGATTTACCTGTAAGCTAAAACCACTTACCCTCTCCATAGAAATGAAACAAAATCAGTTCTTTTAATAAGGAGGAAAGAAATGGATATTGGGTGGACAACCTGAATGTGTATCATATATCACATAAGAAAAATGAGCAGATCATATATACCAGCAATTCATAAGAGGAGAAATACAAATGGTAAATAAACATGAAAAAATGTTTAGCATAATTAATGATTAAAAAGAAATGCAAATTAAAATGAATTTAAATTTTTTTCTCCATCAATTCAGCAATGATGAAAAGAATGATAATCACCTACAATAGCAAAAATATATAAGGTGTATAGAAATGAGTCTTACACAAGATATGCAGGACCTACATAAAGAAAGTTGTAAAATTTTACTGAACCATGTAAAAGAAGATCTAAATAAATGAATGCATATACCATATTTATGGATTAAAAGGTTCAATACCTTAAAAATGTAAGTTCTTCTCAAACTTATTTAGAGATTTAAAATAAAAATCTCAATAGCATAGACGAATTATTAATAAAATATGTATGGAAGAGAAAAGGCCCAAAATGAGTCAAGACACTCTTTTTATTAAAAATTTATTTACTTATTTTTTTATCCTCAACTGAGGACACTTTTTTAAATTGCTTTTGAGAGGGAGGGAGGGAGGAAGCAACATCAATGTTGGATGTTGGCTGCCTCCTATACCCAGCCTGGACCAGGGATCATGGGCACCCAGACTGGGGATTGAAACTGAAACCTAGGTATGTGCCTTGACTGGAAATCAAACCTCCAACCCTTCGGTTACAGGACGACACTGCAACCAACTGAGCCACATCAGCCAGGGCTAGTCAAGACACTCTTAAGGAAAGGAATATAGCCCTGGCTGGTGTGGCTCAGTGGTTGAGTGCCGGACCGTGCAAGGAAGGGTAGCTGGTTTGATTCCCCATCAAGACACATGCCTGGGTTGTGGGACAGTCATGGGGCAACAGATCAATGTTTCTCTTGTACATGGAGGTTTCTCTCTCTCTTTTTCCCTCCCATTCCCCCTCTCTAAAAAAATAAGTAAAATATTCTAAAATTATATAAAAAAGAAGGGAATATGGCACTGAATCTTTTTTTACCAGATGATAAACAAACTTAAAAAAAAAGACAATAGTGATTAATGTGATATTGGTTCAGTGACAGACAAATTAAGCAATTTTATGGCTCCTTTGTGTATCAAAATGTTGGTGGATAATTTTGTGAGGATACTTAAGTCATCACACCTCCTCCCACCTCCCTCTTTTGGCTTGTTGCCTCCATAGACTCCACAGACACAATGATGAAAGCAACCAGCAAGAGACCTTACACAAACTCCACACAAACTGGAGGCCCCCAGACTCACACATTGTAGAAACTTGACATACCATAGTGATAGTACTGAGAGTCAAGAGAAACAATGAAAAATGAAAATAAAATTGGATTTTCATCTCTCATCTTATATAGAAAGTAATTCCAAACTATGTATAAAGACAAAATTTTAAAGTATTTATTAGAAAATATAGATTTATGACTTTGGATTATACACCTCCATCTTGACTGGAAGTCTATAATTGATTTTTGTGTGTTGGCCTTGTATCTTTGCTTAATTCACTTTTTAGTTTTAGGAGGCTTTTTTTTGTTGTTAATATTGATTCTTTGGGATTTTCTGTGGAGTTGATGATGTGTTCTGTGAACAAGGGGTTTTCTTTCTTCCCACTCTATGTTTAAAATTTTCCCACTCTATGTTTAAAAATTTTTTTCTTCCCTTATTGCAATGGCTAGGATTTTAAGTATGATGTTAAATAGGAATGGTGAGAGTAGACATCCTTGCTTTGTTCCTGATCTTAGGGAGAAAGCAGTTTTTCACCATGAAGTATGACATTAGGATTTTGTAGGTACCCTTTATCAAGTTGAAGAAGTTCCTTTCTATTCTTCTGTGAGTTTTTAAAAGTTAAATGGCTGTTGAATTTTGTCAAGTGCTTCTTGCATCAATTGATATAATCATGTGTTTCAACTTTTTAGGTTGTTAAAAACCCTAAAATGTTTTGTTAAATTGGTTTTCAAATATTGAAACAGCTTTGCATTACAGATTTAAATTCTCCCTGGTAATTATGCATTAATTTTTTATGTATTGCTGGATTTGATTTGCTAATAATTTGTTGCAGTTTTTGTGTCTGCTATTCATGAGGAATACTTGTCTGTAGTCTTGTTTTGTTTTTTTTTTTTTGAACTATCATCTGATTTTGGTATTGATATATCTTTTCTGAGGGCAGCTTGTCAATTGTAACAAGTCTTTAAAATGTATGTGTCCAAAGATTCCACTTCTAAGAATTTATCTTTAGGAAATAATTAGAGATTCTCATTACACACAGACTTTGTGTTCAGACAGCCCTGGATTTAAATATAACTGCATCCACTTACTAACTGCTTAGATTCTGTGGCTCTGTTTCCTAATTGTAAAATAAGGATAGGAGAACATATCTCAGAGTTGTATTAGATGAGACAATTCACATATTGTAAGTTATAAGCAAATGGTAGCTCTTGGTATTGTATTATACTATACAGCCTGTGTATTCTGTCTAAATGTAAGGACATTGTCTTTGTTCCCGTGTTACCTCCCACTTTTAATCTTATTTTGGTGGGTATTGGTTTCCTTGTTCTTGGTTCCTCTATCTTATCTTAGGTGAGCTGGGCATCAGGAACGAAAAGGCATAAAAAACAAGGTCCTTGCCTTCAGGAGGCTGAGTCTGTTGGAGAGGCACAGGCACAAACACTGCATTATAAAGGGGGGAGGGGTCTGCCCACGGGGCAGCGGGCCCTGGACATGCTTTCTGAGCGTCTGTGTAAGGACAATGGGACTGTCACCGGAGCTAGGGGACCAGGAAAGAAGGCTGCAGCTTCTCCAGCGTAGTCTCGGGTAGTACTGTCAGCTGAAAAGACAGGCTGTCCCAGACCAACTGTACTAACCGCCCTCTTGAAGTCTCTCAAGTCACGTCTCAGCGTCTGAGGAGCCAGCAAAGGCCAGCTCCACTTCTGTGCGAAGGCGAGCAGGTCCTCAGCTGTAAAGCCCTGGAGCTCCACGTCTCTGATTGGCTCAAGCAGCGAGGGGCGTGGCCTGCCAGCTCCCAAACTGGAGTTTTTTTCACGGAGCGGAAGCCGACCTGGTCCCCCGGAAGTGCAAACCCAAAGAGTGTTGCTGGAGTGGATTCGGCCGTCACCGCGGCTTCTTTCAAGATGCCAGGGGCCGAGGCCGAGGTCTCGGAGTTGTCCGAGAGGATGGAGAGTTTCGTGGAGGCTCTGAAGAGAGGCGGCGGGCGGCGCACCTCCGAGGACATGGCTCGGGAGACCCTGGAGCTGCTGCGCCGGATCATCATGGACCACCGCTGGAGCCATGCAGGTAAGGCGGGCCTCGCTCCATCGCGTCCCTCGCCACTTTGGCCACTTTGCGTTCCCTGTTCCCAGGCGGAAAGTCGCCCAGGCCTCGCCGCGCTGTTGTTCTGCTCACCCTCTCTGGCTTGGATTGCAGGGGAGCTGATGAAGCTGATCCGCAGAGAGGGCCGGAGGATGACAGCCGCGCAGCCCTCAGAGACCACCGTGGGCAATATGGTGCGGAGAGTGCTCAGGATCATCCGCGAGGAGTATGGCAGGTCAGGTCCACGTCACGGGTTCCGGTTTGGATCCAGTGATGATTTTTTGCACGAGCCCCCATCTGTGCTTGGAGCCTTTGTTGGAGCTGAACAGGTCATGTTACACATCACATGGCCTTCACACCTTCTGCGTCGTGTTACCTCCATAGACTTCACGGACGCAGCGATGAGAGTGACCAGCAGGAGTCCCTGCACAAACTCTTAACATCTGGAGGCCTGAACGAGGATTTCAGCTTCCATTATGCCCAACTGCAGCCCAACATCATTGAGGCAATTAATGAGCTGCTTGTGGAACTGGGTAAGAGCCCCCATCCCTGGTGGGCAGGACAAGTTGCAGGGACAGGAGAAAACAACAGAAGACCTTGCAGTTGTTTGTCAGCAGGGTTGGGAGGTGAGGCGTACTCTGGCTCTCAGAGGTCTCCCTTCCATCCTGATTAGGAAAGTGGGAACAGGTGGTAGGACTATGGTAACCTCTATGTTTCATTACAGACCAGTGCTTTGTAGACTGCAAATCCAGTATGGCAGAGACTCCATTAGGACAGGGCTTTATTTTCATTTTAAAGATGAACTCCCTAAAACATGCCTAGTTAGACCCTCACTAAACTTCCTCTTGAATTTTTGTGCCTGCTCACACCACCTCCATTCCCCTTGATTTTGTGACCAAGAACCCCTGCAGGTACTCCCTGTTCTCGGAGTTCTTCCAGGAGGAAGAGGTGGGGACTGTCTGTGCCCTGAGCTGCTGCTTCCAAATTCCTTTCCTATTTTTCTTCTGTGACTCTCAGGTGGAGGTGTCGTGGCCACCTTTTGGAGAATTTTTTTTTAGGTGCGAGTTCTGTTTACCCCATACTCAGCACTTGAGGGTTTCCCAGATTGGACCATTTCTTGCCTGAAGTCACCGTCTTCACAATCCATTGTAAAGGAGCGGGTGTCATGGCAGGGCAGGGCAGGGCAAGGGGGTAAGTTGGGGAGGGGTACTGCTGGGGCAGAGGGCAGCCTGAGAACTTGGCAGACAGAAGATTGCAGAGGAGCAGGGATTTCAAGAAAGTGTGACATTTCATATTAAGTTTGTGAAGCCTGCGCTGCAAGGGCCAGCTGGGTGGGCACGCACCCCATTTGGGGCTCTGTCACATCTGCCTGTGCCACTGTGGCAGGGCAGTTTCCAACTGTCTTTGTACCACGGACTATTCTTGCAGAAGGGATGATGGAGAACATCGCAGCCCAGGCCCTGGAGCACATCCATTCTAATGAGGTGATCATGACCATTGGCTTCTCCCGAACAGTGGAGGCCTTCCTCAAAGAGGCTGCCCGGAAGAGAAAGTTCCACGTCATCGTGGCCGAGTGTGCGCCTTTCTGTCAGGTAGGGGGACTGCTGGAGCTGCTAAGGAAAACAAAGACTGAGAGAATAAAGGAGTGATAGGTGGGGTCCATGTTGACCTTGAATTGATTAGCGAGACACTGAGAAGATGAATAAAACATTAAGGGAGTTATCAAGTTGTTCATCCTGTGAACATTCTTAAAAAGGGCCTTAAACATTGGCTTGAGAAAGTTGGGTGTGGATCAATGAAAAGATAAACGTTGGTTTCTCTCAGGTATCAAAATAGGGTAAATTACCTGGGGGATGACTGAGTCTTGGCTTGACCTCCCTCAATCCCTAGGTATGAATAGTAGGTTTCAAAAAAGGAAATATGTAAGGAAATAAAATGTCGTAAATAAGGAGCCAGGGCTCTCTTGTCAGCGATGCCTGATTGTGCAGACAGGTAGTATTTCCAGTTCTGTGGCAGCTCCAGTGCTGCAGTGGAGTATTAAACATTTATTAGCTTCCTCTGGGCTTCCTTGCAGCTTCCCAGAGAATACCTGCCACAGGCAGAAAGGTGAGTTAGTTATGTGCTGGGACCTGTCTGTTGCAAGTGCCTGGCATCACAGAATTCCCAGATCCAGTCACTCTGAGAGGCCATTCCTGGTCTCTCACCCGTTGTCCCAGCGTCAGCCCTTCTCTCCTGTTGCAGGGTCACGAAATGGCAGTCAATTTGTCGAAAGCAGGTATCGAGACAACTGTCATGACTGACGCTGCCATTTTTGCTGTGATGTCGAGAGTCAACAAGGTGGGTGTGTTTGAAGTTAGGTTGAATTAATGAGGATTATATCTCTGAAATACTGGTTTTTATTGTCCTCTTTGTAATATCCATGAGAAGAGCTTCTAGCACCTTTTGAAAGTACATACGTGGGCCTTTTTAATCTTTTAACTGAATTCTCTTTCCTTTGTCTGTATCATTGTTCCTTATTTGCAATACCTTCTTTGTGGTTAAAGCACTGAAAAAATGAAGTGGGACTACTCTAAGCAGGCCAGCCACTAGGATGCCCTCTTATGCCCAGAGAGCTCAGCGAAGGTGGACGGAGAATAAGAAAGACCTGTTTCTCCGGAGGTGTGATTTTTAGAAGACGAGGCTCCCAGCAGCAGATACTGCAATTTTCTGTCATGCACCACATTCGCTCTTTCCTCGGGGACCCACTTTTAAGCTAGGGCTGGTGGCCCTGAGCCTAGGATCTCTTTCCCTCTACTGCTGTGTGACCCCTCAGGATGCCAAGACTCAGGCCTGAGCATTTAGGCCGTTGTGCCCAATGGCCCTTTTTAAGGCTTTGTCCCCAGATGGCTCCCATTTTTCTTCCTGTCTCAAAGGTGATCATTGGCACAAAGACCATCCTGGCCAACGGTGCCCTGAGAGCTGTGACAGGAACGCACACTCTGGCGTTGGCAGCAAAGCACCATTCCACCCCTCTCATCGTCTGTGCCCCGATGTTCAAGCTCTCACCCCAGGTATGACCGTCTGCCTCTAGCCAGCAGAGAGCCAGAGCATGGGCTTGGTCGCTGGGCCTTCAACCTGCTCACTCTGGGGCTTTGTGTCTGCATTTACTCAGTGGATTAGATCCAGTGGAGGCTGGAAAAAGCTCCAGGAGTCTCGATCCAGGAAAAACAGTTGATATTTATAACCTGTCAGCTTAAAGAATTCGAAATTGTAAGGTCAAGACAATACATAGTTGGGGGCGGCCCATTGTTCACATTGCTGCCACTCCTCATCACCCTGACCACCTTTCAAAACGCCACGCAAGTAACATTTAGGAACGTACAGTTTTATCTGTCCCCGTTCCAGAGACTCTCCTCTGAAGCCTGAATACCAGCAGTTACTAAGTGAAGAGTCATTTCATTAGTGATAAAAACTATTTACTTTAAAATATCAATCTATTTATAGGTCTCTTACTTTTTTAATTGAGGTTTAATTCACATAACATACAATTAACCATTTTTTAATGTTCAGTTCAGTGGTTTCACTGCATTCACAGCATTGTGCAACCACCACTCCCTGGTTTCAGAACTTCATCACCCCAGAAAAACTCTGTGCACCCATTAATAACTTTCTCCCTTCTCCTCGCCCCCTAGCGATCACTGGTCTGCTCTCTGTCGCCGTGGGTTCGCCTGTTTGGGAAACTTGACATGAACAGAGTCCACTGTGCCCTCTGGGTTCTGGCCTCCTTCACTTAGCGCACCGTGCCCCGGGCCCTCCGAGTCGCAGCGCAGCACTCGGCCTCTCATTCTGGCCGCGTACCGTCCCTGTGTGCGGGTGCACTTGAGCTGCCTGCCTGTTGGCGGGCATTTGGGTTTCTGCTATCTCTTGGCTTTTGTGAATAGTGTTGGTGTAAGCACGTGTGTACACGTTTCTGTGTGGACACGTGCTTTTTATTTCTGTTGGGTATATACCTAGAGATAGAATTGCTGGGTCTGTTTTTTAAATTTTTTTTTCCTTTTCCAGTTCCCCAATGAAGAAGACTCATTTCACAGGTTTGTGGCTCCTGAAGAAGTCCTGCCCTTCACAGAAGGTACGGAAGTGTGTGCGTGTGTGCACGCACATGGGTGTGTTTTGGCCTTTTGGTCTGGGTTTGGTGGTCAGTGGGACTGAGTGCTGCCAGGTGTGCTTTTTACCGTACTTGTGGGGACTGTTCTCTTTGGCGGCTTAGAGTGCCTGGAGACCTGATCTAGTTTAGGTTCATTTTGTTCCGGAATAATATATTTCAGCTGAGGTGGTGGGGCCATGGAGGTTTGGATCACCCAGTATTGGCTGCGTTCGGCTTTGCATGTCGTTTGAGGTGCGGGCAACAACCCCATGGGAAACGTACTCATTTTTACTTGCTGTCGGGAGTCATTTTGGCAACGTGGCTGCCCAAGGAAGCAACTCTGAAATGTTCCTACTTGTAAAGCTTGCCTATACCTTGGATACCCTGTGTGTTGGGCCCTTTTCTCTGCCTTCCGAAGGCAGCAGCTGTGTTCCGTGAGCCTCATCGATAGTTAACATGGTCTTAAATGCCCTCTGGGAGCAAAGCATATATTCGGGGTGGTAGTTCTTAGGTTGAATAACTTCCTCCATTTACTTAAACATTCATTCATGTAGAAATTATTTGTGTCCGTCGGCACCCACTCACTGTGCCTTGTACTACCTAGGCTCTAGGGATGTAGCAGTGAACCCTGCAGGCGGGCCCTGCTCCCACGGAGCTTCCCGTCTGTAGCAGTGGATGGACGAGAACATGTCAGATCATGGGATGTTCTAGGGAAGAAGCAAATAAGGATGATGAGATGGAAAGTGGTTGGGAGATGGCTTTAGATGGGGGAGGGTCTTAACAACATGACATTTCAGCTGAGTTCTGCATGCATGGGGCCCCACATGAAGATCAAGGCGTTGGCACAGAGGTCTTGAGTTGGGTACACACGTAGCCAGCTGGAGAAAGGTGGCTGTATGGCCAGAGAGGAGTGAGCAAGAGGTGGAGTGGTACGACTTGTAGTTGGTGTGGCGGGGAGGGGCCAGGTCTTGAAGGCTGCAGGCCCCAGTTTGAATTCCAGGGCTCTGGAAAGGCCTGGAAGGGTTTTAATTGGGGAGTGCCATGGTCTGAGGTCATCTCTTGCGGCCTGCGTTCCGCTGCAGCTTCCCCTTCCTTGGGGTAGCAAGTATGTCTGCATTATTGAGCCTGGAACCCGTATACCGCTTAACCATTAGAGCAGGATCCTCAGTTTTATTCTTGTCACGTGCGATTGCCTTTCAGGGGACATCCTGGAGAAAGTCAGCGTTCATTGCCCTGTGTTTGACTATGTCCCCCCGGAGCTCATCACCCTCTTCATCTCCAACATTGGCGGGAACGCTCCTTCCTACATCTACCGGCTGATGAGCGAGCTCTACCACCCTGACGACCACGTCCTGTGACACCGCTCGTCCTGAGCAGAGCCGCGGAGGCCGACGCAGAATGGAGAGGGGACTTCAGTGCCACTGCCGAAACGCTCTTCCTTGTAAGGACTGGGGTCAGCCGAAAAAGCTGGGTTGTTTCCTGCCGTTTTAGTCATCCCACAGCAAAGATGTATATCCAGGACTCGTTTGGGGTTTTTTTGTTGTTTGTTTGTTTTGCCTTTCAGATCTTGAGAGAGAAGTAGGGCTTGACCTATTGATTTTGGAGCTTCTTAGTGACCTAGGATGTCTGTTTCAGGAACTTAAACTTTCTGGTTCACTGGTGTGTTAAACATAACACTGACTAGCTTGCTGGGATACAGGTTTTTGCTCAGAAATGGCAACCACACCTTTTCGTAGGCTGTGCCAATAAAAGCTGCTCGAAGGTTCCCGAGTTGGTTTATTTATTGTTCTGCTCTGACTGAACCGCCTGGAACAGCAGCAGCAGAGCCCTTGTCTTGTTTGCATAGAGGGCTGTACTTAGAAGTAACAGTCTAAAACAGAGAGGTACAAATGAAAGTATTTACAGTTTCATTCAGAATGTACTGGAAATGGCCCCAATTTGCTAGTAAATCTAAGATGGTGGTTCCAAAACCTCTCTGATCATCAGAACCATCTGGGAGCTTAAACAAACAAACATTCTTGGGCTCCACCCCAGACCCACTACATCTGATCTCTGGGGGGGCACCTGGGAATCCATTTAAAGCTCCCCAGAAAAGGACCCTCTCGTGTACTGTTAATAGGATTGTAAGCTGGTGCAGTGTTTCCCAGGGCAGTTTTGAACCTGCACGTCTAGTTATTTGTACAAGCACACAGGTACAGACGGGACCGTCCGTTGTAGCAGCTGCCATGTCATGGCCTGCGTGTCCAGCAGTAACATTCTGTGTTCTGTTAGTTGAAAGCAAGAAAGGTTTTAAAATAGTTATGACATACCGTGGAACATCGTGTCTCCACTGCAGTTGAGGTTTCAAAAGGCGGCTTGAGGGCAGTGTCTGGACTGAAGACATTCTGGCTGCTGGTTCACCCAGTATTTAATTTGAATTAGTTATCAATATTTAAATACCTAGAGATTGCACATTAAACCATTTAGAGTTCTTGATTCTTTTGAGAGAACTCAGAAAATTTGGCGATTCTGGATCCACATTCCCAAGAGGCAGCAGCTGGCCAGAGCTAGGTAGCTTCTGACGCCATCAGATGGAAAACCTCCAGTGTTCGGCAGCTCCTCCGGGGTCCATTTAACTATGTTATCTGCCGAACCCCGGTAGGCATTTGATGTGTGAGCCTTGTGTTAATGAATGTGTTAGATTTGTGAGGAAAGTCCATTTCATATTGTTAGTTAAGTGCAAGCTGCAGAGTGATATGCATGGTATGATCTTTCAGTAAAACAAAATCTGTACTTGTAGAGGATAAAAGTCTGGAAGAATAACACCAAACAGTGACAAGCAGGAAGACATCTAATTTTATTTAGTATGTTTATATATTGTTCCCCTATTTTATGTGTACTCCTTGAGTAATTAGATTTTTAAAGGGTCTCTGCAGGTAAACCAGGCCACCGGTGTGTGCTGGGGAAGAGCTAGTCCGAAGCTGCAGTCCGAGGCAGACTTGGGTGGGCAGGGAAAGCCCCTGGAATGCCATTCGTTCTCGAAGGCTGGCCTCCTGCCTCTCGCAGTGTGGCTGGGGCGGAGCGAGCGCCAGGAGTCCTCATGTTTAACTAGCTCGCTGAGGCATTGTAGCAGGTGATTTGGTAACCACGCTTGGGTAACACTGGCCAGAAGTACTCTTTTGATTCTGCCTCAGAGGGATCTTTGCCTCAGGCCCTTGTCTTCCTGAAGGAGGAAGAAAACAAGATCTGAGTCAGCCTGAAAGACTGACCTGAAAGTCCTGTGACTCAGAAAAGCCTGACTCACTGGGGCCTCAGCCTGTCAAACATTCCTCACAGCATCCCAGACCCCAGGCTTCCTCGGTGAAGTGGCTCACAGCTGCCAATTACAAGCAATTGTCTCCTCCGAAGGCACCAATTTTAACAGCAGTTCACTTGGGTATAATTGTGTGGTCTGGAGTAAGAGCAGCAGTGAGTCAAGGAACTTAAATCTGTTTCTGGCCCCAAGAATGCTTTATGATTCTTGTTCTTTGCGCATCTTAGTCTCTGGGTTTAAAATTAGCAGCAACCTCCTTCCCAGGCACGACCGAGGTGGATGAAGGGTAGAGGCTCTCTCTCGGGCGGCTCCTGCAGTGCCTGGAACAGAACTGCACAAATGCATGGTCTTGGGATCTTCAGGACCTCCAGTAAATCCCACAAGGCTATTTATATGCCTTGTTATTTCTATTTCCCTCTCTCCCGCTTCCTGTTTGAGGCAGAGTGAGCGTTGGAAAGGGAGACCCCGACTTCAACAGGGGGAAACCGCGCTGCTCCGGGCTGACTTACCGCCTGTCGGCCTTCATGCCCGCCACTCCCCGCCTTCGCCCGCAGGACCCAGAGACTCGTTTGGGGGAAAAGGAAAAAACTATTTTAGCTTAGAGGTGATTAAGAAAAAGAGGATTCCGTGGATGTGAAAGGCTTCCTATGCCAAATAAACCCAGTTAGATAACTTACTTAATACAGTTTATAAAGACACTTTTTCCCACGGTTTGTATCTTCCAATTTGGGCGGAGGGCAGGAAAGCACAATTCCTGGAACTCAAATAAGGAACAGAAATTCCTAATTTAGCCTCAGAAGAGAAGTCTCTGAAAAATACTCTACCAAGAAAAACTCAGAAGTAAAGTGATACCTCAAAGAAAAAAATGCCGGTGCCCACAGGATCACAAGTTTCACAGATGTGCTTCAAAACCGTTTCTCAGGGCAGTCTGCTGCATCAGCGTGGGGGTTCATGAAGGCTGCCAGTCACGCCGTTCCGTCGCTGAGCTAGACGGCTCTGCACTAGCCCTGTGCAGAACTCAGCACATCGGAACTGCTCTGCCATGAAGACGGTACCAGATGGTCACGTGATCATTGCGGCAAAGACCCCACACGACCCACCTGTCCTTGCAAAACTCCCTCTCCAGACCTGCACCTCTTTGCCAAAAGGAGCTACTTTGAAATGTGCCTTGGAAGTGTTTTATATCTGGTCTGCTTTGCTTTGAATTGTTCTTTTCATTCACCAAAGAGCTGTTCCAGGATATTGTGCAAGTGCCTAAGCAATTATTATTAATACTAGAGCTACAGTCTAAGCTTTCAGCCTCCACCACACCCCCACGGCGGAGGGCAGGCAGCCTTGGAGCCTAACCACACTTGAAATGATCGCTTGACACTTGCATTAAATACTGTGCTGAAGAGGAGACTTTCAGTGATGGTTTTCCCCCAGGCATGTTAATATAGAATTAAGACCTGCCTAGAAAAATCTTGACCAAGATTCCTACAATTCATAACTGAGATGTTAAATTCTGTAATTTACTACTACAAAAGAGGTGATGAAATACCTTGAATAATGATCAACTGGTAACAGTAGCTAAGTCCAAAACACTTTTTTGTGGGAACCATCACTGGGTACTACTTGCTTTTGAAGTAAATGAGCACGTGCTTAGTCAGGCAGGTTGTAAGGGTAGACAGTCAGGCCAAAGTAGCGTCGTCAGACTGCTGTTTGAGTCACACTCGCTTACTGGCTCCATGGATTCCAACATGTAAGACACCTGGATTCCTAACAGGCTTTGATCAGGTTGCCTGAGCTTTATCAGATGTTTCTGGATAAGACCGAGTGCTCTAAGAAATTCGCATGCATGGAAAAGGACCCAAGGGTTTGAAAAAAATCCTAAACCACAGGACAACCCCTTTTTTCTTTACATCCCCCACCAGTTCTGATGCAGTATATTTAGAAGAGGCTCAGATTACCGAATGATGAATGGAAGGATACGAGAAAGGGTTTAATTGATGGAGTTATCCAGAGTTCTGGTTTCCCAGACTTCTTTTTCTCTCCTCTGAGCCTGCCTTTCTGCCATCTCACTGTTCATGAGCAACTCCGGCTCAGAAAGGGTGAAAACAGGCCGGATATACAGTGGCAAACATACCCATCAGTTCTTGTTGTTACCCTGGGTTCGTGAAGAGTTTTGATGGAATGGGGTGTCACTTCAGGTGGGGAACAGGGACAGAGTTCTTTGTGCCAGAGACTGCTGTTCCCTCCACTCGGATGTGCTGTTACCAGTGAAGCTTTGCCAGGCTCGGTTGGCAGTGCTCTCCAGGAACCGATGGGCCGCGTCCGTTCTCACTCGGCATGGCTTCCTCAGCCCCCTGCCCATCTCCAGAACCTGGCTCCCTCCTGCGCTGCGCCTGTTCTTACTGCCCTGTTTCTTCCGGTCTATTAAGCCCAGATCCCAGCTGTTCATTTGTTCTGACCCTTCTTCCTTGCTCTGAAGTCTGAGTGCTAGAACCTCTCCACTGTCAACTGCTCGTGGAGTTCCAGACCCCCAGCTAGGTTCTGGACCTTGCCCTGGCTCTCTCCCCAGTCCTTCCCCTTCCTTCTAGCCTACACTCTGAGCTTCCTGATACCGGTTCCTACTGCCATCTGTAGCCTTAATTCTGACAGAATTATTTCCTCTTACCACAATAAAGACATAGCTGTAACTCAGTGATCCCTAAACCTAGAGGAAGTCACCATATTCTATCATTAGTTTCCTTGCTTCCCTGACTGCAGCTAACCTTGGAGTTCTGCACCTTTATTTCTCAACAAAAATTTGAACGATGCTACCAAGAAATGGCACTCTTGAGAACAGCTTCATTGCCATCTCATCTCTCAAGTTTTACCCTGAAGTTAACAAAGTCTCTACCGGCCAGAATCTAACAAAAAGGAACCACTAGCCTTCAGACTGATAAACCGCTGATAAACTAAGCACGTGTGGAGCAGCAGCGGGGCAGCAATGGGAAGGCGTGCATGACATGAAGTCCCACGGCCTGGGTGGAAGTTCTGGCTCCCTTAGGAAGGCCCTCCGCCACCCTGCTAACGCCCCTGAGCCTCAGTCGTCTCGCGGCAGCAGAGACGCGGGCTTCCTGAGGGCTGTGGTGGGGCTCAGACAGTATCCACACGGCAGCTTGTCGCCCGAGCTGGAAGACGTGGACGCCGCTCTCGGCGCTACCTACTGGCTGTGTGATCGTAAGACATCGCTTAATATTCTTCAGCATTAGTATCCCCTCCTGTAGAACGGGGAGAGTAATACCACCTTACCTCATGGGTTACCAGGAAATTCAGGTGGGCTAGGTCTGTAAAAATTATTTTGTAAACCTTAAAGATCATGAAAAAGATGTTGCAATGAGAATTTCCACATTGGTATTTTCTGACCAGCCTGCTCAAATTGGCCTTTGTATCAATGGAATTATTTTCCATTAATAAATTGGAAAATTTAAATGCATCTTTGCTCCTAT